GTTTGAATGGCTGTTACAGCGGTATACAGCTGTTATCACTGCTATGTGAAACAATTATTTGTTTTGAAATAACCTTATTGACATGCTTTGTTCAACGCTCAAGAAAGCCACTCAATTTATTGAATGCAGTTTTCTGGGTTTGTTTTGCTCGTGGTTGACAGTGAAACACTGTTCCTGTACACAAATGTGTATCTTTCAGATAACAGCCCTTTTCAGGGCCACCAAATATTTAAAAAAGAAAACTAGCGAATTATCAACATCTTGCACCATGGAGCTCTTTTTATTTACCTCCACGCATGCACAAACTACATTGAGACAGATTAGTTGCATATATCGTCTGCCATAATGTTTCTAGTCGGCTCAACAACAATGTTGTTAAAATAAAATGGGGTCTTCTCAAACTATTAGTACATTTATGTGTGGGATTTGGATCACAATAAATATCAATTATTGTATGTCTAGCTTGAGCCAAGCTGAACTGGCAAATCTGGATAATTTTTTTTGTTTTATCTGAAATAAATATTTTAGTTAGATCTTCACACTTTTAGCAGGCTTTTAGCAAACTGGTCTGATTGTGAATAAATTCCAAAAACAAAAAAGAATTTGTTTACCAGGTTGGCACGAATATAACTGTTTGATACGAATGTAGTTCATCATGACTACCACAGTGTCGTCAACCAGGCACTTCACACACCCGCCAATGATTGAATCTACATTTGTAGGTCGATACCAGGGCATGCAAATTTGTTATATTTAATAGTTCGTCTTTTTCAGTGACAGTGGGGTGAACAAAATATCATCTTCCCTTTATTGAAACCTTATCGCCTTCAGGACAGTGTTCTATTCTGTTGCCACTTAAAAAAGACGAACCATTTAAGTTTACGAGCTTTGTCACTGCTGTTTTCTCTATATGTTCACATGCTCCAAGGAAGTATGTGTTGTATCAATATGTTATATACTATAAAAGCGATGAAAGGTACATTTTCTATAAGACATCAACTCATGTATAACTTTTAGAACAATTTATTCATGTACATGTGTACCAGCCCTACTGGAAAGTTATTAGTTGCTGGTGTTGACTCAAATTTTTTTTTCATAATACATGTATACTAGCTGCTGAAAAATACTGAAACCAATGATGACGCTGACAAGCTAAATGATACTGAGAATAAAGGTGACCTTGAAGACAAGAAACAAGAAGAAGTCAAATCAAAGGATGATGCCAAAGCAGATGTCAAGGTTAAAGATGATTCAAAGGAAGTCAAGGCTGAAACTGTTGTAAAAGATGTGAAAACAAAAGATGATGTGAAAGGCAAAAAGGAATATTCAAAGACAACTGAGAAGAAAACAGATGAAAGGTATACCATGTTAGTATGTTGTAGTTTATTGTTAATGTATGTTGAATATTGTACTACTGCATGGTGTTTATAGTGATTGGAATGATGTAGATTAGCCTGTTGGTATAAGGCACATGTTTCTGTTCATGAAATTTTTGGTATATTGTATACCCCAGTATGGGTTATTTTACCTCCTAGCCAGAGATGATGACACTTATGATTGTCTATTTCACATGTAACTATCCCCAGCTTTAAATTAATATCCCTCAGTAGTGGTATTGTCGGAGAGGGATATAGTGGTGACAAGCCTCCTTACAAAGTCATAAGTTAAAATAAGTTAAGGCCAATTCCTTGCTTTTACACTTACGGTACAGCTTACAATTTTACATACACCAGTCTGCTCATCTGCTGTTTCTTGGAGTTGGAGTTTTCAACAACTTCTTGCTTTTGATGTGTGTGGCATGCATTTTTCACAATTGATTCATGATGACAGATTTCATTATAAACTAAATAAATGTTCAGAACTGTCTATTAGGCACCACAGCGTATTAACACTTAATAGACCTTTCATATAAACTATTCCACTGTACAAACATGCTCCTTCCTCCTTGTTGTTCACTATAGAACCAAATCAGGAAGAGACAGACGAGATGACAGGGATCGACGTGATGAGCGAGACAGAAGATACGACAAGCGTGATGACAAACGGTCAAGTTACGGTGATAGATATAGAGATCAAAGGAACAACAGGCGAGATGATAGATATGACAGAGATAGTAAAAGAGATGATAAACATAGCAGCCTAAAAGACTCTAAAACTGAAATAAAAGAGAAAGATAGTGGAAGAAAAGATCATGATAAGCTGGATGGCAAAGACAGAGGAATGTTGAAAGGAGATTACAGAGGAGATTATGGAAAACCAAAATCATATGAAAGAGACAGACGGGGTGAGAGAAAGAGTTACAGATACAGTGACACAAGGAGTGAGAGAACTAAGAGCAGAAATGATGACCGAGGCAATGACAGGTCTAAAAATAATTACAGTGATAGAGACAAGGAAGATAAAACAAGAAAAGATGAGAAAATGAGCAACAAGAAGGATGACTCAAAGAAAGCAGCTGTTGGTGCTGATGATGACAGATCAAAAGATAGTTCTGGATCCAGTCAAGATCGGGACAGGGATCGGGATAGATACAGTGAGAGAGAGAGTACTAAACAGAAACAGAGAATAAGAAACAAGGTAAGTGGTGGATCTTAGTATTAAAATACAGAAAGAAATGTGACACGACATGAGAAGAGTCAATAGCTTGTATTGCCCTTATTTCAAAATCACAGTAGACAAGCTAATTTATCAAGAGCAAATAACTTCAAGTTTAGTCTTCGTAATTAGTATGCATTTGATTGTCACAGCTGAAAATAATGAAACCATAGTTGCTTATTAAAGAGATAATTGCATTTGTCCTGTTTTCGCACAATGAAAGAGTCATTGTTAGAAAGTCAAGTTATTGTTCAGTCTGCTCCTTTCAAATGAGTGGTATTAATATAACTGATATACTATGCTAAAACGTGTGATAATCATTATTTACTACCATATTGCATAGGACCGACCAGCCATGCAACTGTACCAACCGGGATTACGATTTTCAAGAACTAACAGCAAGGAGAAAGACTCTGACAGAGACAAGGAGAAAGATAAGGAAACTGACAAATTTAAAGACACCAAATCACAAGATGAGAAACCCCAAACAATAGTCAGTGAAAAAGAATAGACTACAATGTGAACTCAGAGCATTATAAAATATTAATAGGGTATTTATTATGAAGATTATGTTCTACAAAAGGGAATATGTATTGATTAAATTTTTGTGCATTGAAATAAAAAAAGTCGAACTGATTGCATCTTATTACTTATTAAGCTCTACAGTTACCGTAGTATAACATACCACCCCAGTCCCCAGTGGCATGCCAAGTTGACAGGGACTGAATTAAGGTATGGTTTTTCACAACAAAAAAACACAATAAACAGAACAAAAGGTGCTTTAAATTGAATATTTTTAAGTTAGCACTGTTAATTTAAATGAGTCATGATGAAAAAAAGGAAACATCTACCAATATCAGGTGTGAGTATAGCAGTTGTAAATGTTGTTTTACATGATAGCTTGTATTTCCTCTGTATATCAAATTTAGCACTGAGCGTGCATTATGAAAAGATGTATATTCTGTAATGTTTGAAACTAAGTAATTCAGAAAATATTAATAAGACTTTGTCCAGTGCATTTTGAACTGTTACCTGAAATTAAGATTGCTCTACCTTGAAATTGTTGACCTTACCGGTAATTGAAGTCAACTGAAATTTAAGCTCTTCTTTACTGTATTGTGGCTGCAAACTAGGCACAACTAGCTTTCAGTAATATGTGTGCTTTTATCTAATCCTACTTCCTATCTCACTGTAATCGTATGAGCTAGGACCTCGCCGCTAGGTGATTGATATCTTGCAATATTTGTCATTCAAAGCAATGTACAAATATACTTCAAGCAAATTTGGCCCAAGATATCTTATGATTTCATCTCATTCATAATTGAGTTTTTTTTTTTAATCAATGTATATCTATGACAATGTATATATATTCTGATGAAGTCCAATATCTAGGACTATCTGAAAGCATATCTCAGACATTCATTGAACAATTTCTTTTAAACTTGGTACAAAGACAATACCTGATGTCATACTTAAGCATATCTATTTTGTTTTTGTTTTTTGATGTAAAATTTGCCTCAATCATAGGTATGTAAATTGTGTTTGTAAAAGAGACGACTTAACATTTATTCGATTGCAGTTTGTTTGTGTTTTAAATTGGAGGCTACAAAGGTGAACTTCAAATTTTATTGATTTTTTACACTGTGTGCTGTTACCAAAATGCTAGTACATGTAATAAAATTCAGAGAATCGTTCTGTCAGTTTAGTGTCTTGAGAAATCACTGAGAAATTTAGCAAGCACTGGATGAGAACATGCACAATGAAATCACTTTCTTTTTACCTTGTTTACTAGATTGCCTGTTAAATAATCTGATGTATATGTAGTAACTATTTTCATTTAAATCACTTTCAAACTAAAATTCAGCTACAAAATATATACTTCAAATGTGAATTTTATTTTTTAGTACTGTACTACTAGTTGGCAGTTAGCAGCATTTACTCAATGATTCAGGAAGGTTCCAGACAAATTGAAGATTATATTCCATGAATACGTCATACTTTCATTGTTATGGGTTCTTGTCATCAAGATACCAAAAATGACAAAAAAAATTTGGGTCACTAGACTATTTTTCGAAATACAACAGTCTGAAATGTTACAGAAAAAAAGTCAAGTATGGTATTTTAAACTGGTTTCTACGGTGAAATTATTTATTCATATTTCAAAAATTTGCTTGGTGATATGGAATAAAAAAAAAAAGTCATCATTATTGGCGTGAATCCAAATATTGTGAAAACATTTCAAAAAATTGATGTAGAATATATAATAACATATATTTGACATATAATACGTTTGTAGTATGATATTAATTTACCATTACATACAATGAGAGGTTATATATACTGTGTAGTAACATGCTCAGTGATACAAAATTTGAATTTGGTTCAAAATTCCCTAATCAGTATCACGTTTATTGTTGAGGATACTGTAAAATAATTTATTTTCCCTGGTTTTTAATTTTGCTATGTTAATGCTTTGAGCAATTTCACCGGGTTTTGAGTTCATGAACTTGACAGGGAAATAATGAGCTCTATTGTTATTCTTCATGTTTGCATGGATTTAATTTGGCAGACTTATCGATGAAAATAGCAAAATTAAAAAACAGCAAATAATTAATAATAATTACAGTATGTAATATATATTGGTACATTTCTTCACCTTCATGAAGATGCGTTACATGGTTTAGATTAGGAACACTCAGAGAGTATTCTGCAGTCCTGTGAAGCTTGTATTCACTGTAACTATTTCAACAACAAGATGGTGATCATTGCCAAAGTTCAGCTGGATTTGGTCAACAGTTTATGTACATGGTGGGCATGGAGAGGAATATAATGCAAACTTGTGTATTTTGAGTAAAACACTCTGGTTTGATCATTATAAAGGGGGCTGTGTGTGAATACATATTACTGTAATACATTATGCTTATTCTAGAAATAGTACTTTGCTAGATGACAATGTTCACAGTGATGCATAGTTGCTACCAGAATATTGAAGTTGATATTCTGTTTTAGGTAAAATTGTACATGGATTCATCATTTTTTTTTTATAATATGATTTTTTCAGATAATGAATAAATATCTATACTGAATTTATTGTTATGTCTAATCTTCTTTTATGTAATATATGAAAGCTGAGTTAGTCATTTTAGCTCCTGTGTTTGAAGCATACAAGGGAGGTAATGAGTTTGGTGTATCTGTCTGTCTGTCTGTGTGTAAGCAAAATCTAAAAAATCTCCGAGCATATTTGATCAAAATTTTGTACATAGTTACCTTTCGATGATGCGCAGACATGGTCAGTTTTGGGGCCATCACCGTGCATATTAAGTAGCTAATTTACATCTTTATCTCATTTTAGCCTTTGTAAACAAAATCTTAAAAACTGAGCGAATATTGATCAAATTTGGTACATAGATACCTTGGGGTAATGTGCAGACACTGTTAGTATTGAATCAATGATCATGCATATTAAGTAGCTAATTTGCATATTGTCTCATTTCAGCCCATGCAAGCAAAATCTTCTAACCTCTAATGCCATTGTTCCTTCACTGTGGGAATTTTCATTTTCTAGATTTTTTTTTATAAGTCGACAATGATTGCATAAACTTTTTATTCACACGATTTGCTGGGTTTAACTTTGATCTCACATTTGGTTGTTGATATCATTATATCGTGCCCTATAAAATAGTTTATGCTAAACATTAATAGACCTTGTTTGGCCATAGTTTAGTTTTCAGACCAACTGTATTCAAATTAAGTAGTGGGTTATATATCTTTCTTTGTTTTAATCAACTTTACAAAATTAGGTGCAAGGGATGTTGTTCACATCACCAAGGTTTTTTTTTTTTTTATCTGTGGTTGTTCCTCGATGAAACAAATGAGAAATTGACTATAATATTTCAAATGATGAATGACTGAATAACCAAACAAATCTGAATGAATGACATTGCTTTCACCAAAGTGCGTATTTTGACGTCACGGAAGCACTCACTAGAGGTGTACGTTGTATTATACCAACTCAAAATTCAGGGTTAGGCCATCAATGAAGTTGATGACTTCACTTACCTGGGCAGTAATGTGAGCAAAAAAGGACACTCACAGAGAAGTAAAGACATCAAATCAAGAATAGCCAAAGCCAGGAATGCTTTCATAAAACTAAATCTAATTTGGAAATCCAGCCAATAAATTCAGGAACTTAAACTCAAGCTTTGCAATAGCGATGTAAAATCTGTCCTTCTCTGTGCATCCATATACTGGCGTGTAACAAAATCCGACATGACCAAGCTATCGTCTTTCACAATGGTTGCCTAAGGAGAATTTGCAGAATATTCTGGTCAGTGACCATCTCCAATGATGACCTTTATAAACACATTCTCGGGACATTGTTATTAAAATAAAGAGCCGAAGAATGGGTGGTTGGGTCATGTTCTCAGAATGCCACAAGACTCAATCTCCAAAACAGCACTTTGTTGGACGCCACAGGGTAAATAAAACAGAGGGAGGCCAAAAACCACATGAAGAAGAACCATTACCACAGAACTTGCCAAGGCAAACCTGACCTGGAGTGGAGCAGATATGGTGGCCAAGGATAGACAGGAATGAAGGACCTGATTGCAGCCTTATGTCCCGGTATGGGATGAAGAGGACCACACATATGGGGTACTTACAAAAAAAGATTTGGTTGACACACCTTTGTTTTGCATAAACCTCACTAAAACCTTGCAAACTGACAGGCAAGCCGATCACAAACAATTTTTTTAGAGAAAGGCGTACAGCAACACGAGATAATAACACAAAAAGAGTGTTATACACATACATTGTTGGTTGGTTGGTTGGTTGGTTTGTCAAGCTGTTAGTCACTCTGCCCAATAAGTTATGATTGTATACCAAGAAACATCATTTTGTGGTGGAAATAATATTAATCTCACTCAAAGATAAATGCACATTGCTGAGGATGTTGGTGTTTGCCAAAAATGCATTCTATGGTTTTCCATTTTTTAGTTCGTTATTTGATGTTACTGAATTGTTTCTACTGCCCTCAACGACCAGTACTTGTAGTACTCCATGTCTGAAATGCTCAAGATAACCGGTTACTGAAAAACAACAACATGGTTGGTTACAAACAGGGTACATACAGCCATCAGTGGGTACAGACAATACTTGACATTGAAGATGCAACTTACAGAAGTATACTAGTACACATCTGGGCTATACATACAGCCACAGATATGTATGTTATGACTATAAACTTTATTTATACACAAAATATACAAGACTGTGACCAAAATCGAGATAAATAAATATTCACACATTAAAATATTGAAGCTCTAACAATAAATGATAATTTCTACTAATTTAAACATTCTTCCAAAAATATCAGTGTTACGGAACGAATATATCTCTTAGGGTGATAGCGCCCTCCTAGAGTTATCCAAAATTCTCGGGTTAAAGGCTCTAAGTTGTTGCCGGGTGACCCTCTAGCTTTGCAGCAAAGATAAAGGTAAGCGTGTTGTATCCACACCGGGAGCTTGACGATATATTTCGTCTCGTGTTGATGTATGACGACCAGTGACGCCAATTGACCATACTCACGACGTGGTAATTAGTGGTTACGGTATGTTCGTCTTTTCATTATAATGTGATGTACGGCACTGTTCTATTTTGACATACAGAACTTAACAACATGGCCGCAGTAGGTGACAGTTGCAGGACTTCCTGGGATGTCTACATATATGATCTAAGGATATAATCAGTCTAGTACTAAATAATAGTATGAAATACTGCTTCCTAAAAAAAATACTACCGAGGATGAATGATAGCTGTATGTTAATGATTGTTTACGCATGAACAGATAAATGAAATATTGATGGTACTTATAAACAAAGGTTCTTCTTTCTTATGCTTTTCATAAAGTCCGTATGTTTTGTTCTAGGACGATTATAGTTCTTAATGAAAGGCAGGAAAGAACTACCAATGAACAGTAGACTAATATATTTTTCGAATTTGTCGTGTTTTTCACAACAATGAATTTCAAACGACCTTGTTTTCAAACTAGAGCTCCAAAGTTCAAGGTTTGACCTAGTTTTACACAAAATGGTGATGGTGTTTCGTTCACCAAGAAGAAAAAATCAAAAACCCTTTTTTATGGAACCCATTCTGGCTACCATTTCTTTATTTTCTAGTACTATTTACACAACAAACCCATTCCTTTTCTTTTTATAAATATTTATAAATTTCAATGGCAGTTGAATCCAACCATCCAATCAGCAAGCGCAGTGAATAAATGAAGTCATTTAAAAATGTTCTAATGATTTTTTCAGCCAATAGAAATCTCGTTTCAGTTTGAATCTTGAAATTTATTAAAATGAAGGTAATTAATTTGTTGTGTTGATAGTATTAAAGTCTAATTAATAGGTATTGTTATCTGTAAATATCAAGAAAATTTAGGTTCTGGGAAAGTTATAATTCTGCAAATATAATTCTAACCTAAGGGATTTTGTTGAAATATAGCAATATACGTTAGTCCTTGGTTGATTTATGCAAGAAAAATGAGTCATTCGTGAGTGGTGACAAATAACCAGACAGACACATACTGTGTTGATGTCGCTGTGGTCATTCAATCTTTACAAGTATGCATTTGTTCTGAGAAAATCTGTAAACTTATATTTGTATTGCATTGAAAGTTAAATTATAAGTTGACGAGTTATGACGACATTATAGTGTTGAGGTAACTGTATTAAAAAAAAATGTCAACAGTAACCAACATAGTTCTATAATTTGGTATTACAAACATTTGTACAAATTTGCAAGTGAAATCATTTAATCCATGTAAAACTGAGACCATATCACTTTTGTGTTATGAATAAGACTCAATCGCTTCAAAATGACTCTAATTTGTAAAGTGGTATTCACTTCATCTTAATTTGCATGAATGTTTGGCAAGCACAGTGATTGTTTAGAAATTTTTCGAGTATAGCTAAATAATTGTTGGGTTGGGGTCAAGCGTATCTGTGGTTTTGAGCTACTGTATTTATTTGTATGTTTTCTACACAGAAACGAATTATTTAACGTACAGAATGTTAGAACCAGGTGATATCCTCAATCCACCAGAGGATGAGCCGACCCAGTCTGACCCGGTAATTCCAGTGGAAACTGCACCACGGCATATGGAAAACATTGTTTCACTGGAAGGAACAACAGAAAAGACTTGTACTCAAAAAAATGTCAATGAAGATGCTCAGGATTTTGGTGTCCTAGCAACAGATGTGTCCAATGTTAAAAATGAGGATATTCCAGAGGACGGTTCGTTAATGAGTCTTCCAGAAAAAAATAAAACTCGGGGAACTTTTTTACATGAAGTGGAAGATTCCAATGTAGCTACCCCGGAGGAAGTTGTTCCTTCACCAATTGTTTCCTCGCCAAAAGCCGATACTGCAGATGTTGATAATGGAAATGACGGCGTGATTGTTACCGAAATGTCCGTGGATTCAGAACAGACTAATGAGGCCAAAAATCATGAAAGAGGAGATGAAATGGACTTCTGGGAAAGGTACATCTATTAAATTAGTAATGATCATAGTTTCTGTTTTAAAAAACTAGGAACCCAGAAATTTGTTAAGGAAGTCAAAACAAGGCAGAGTAGATTACCATAGATTCAGTGAGAAGGGTTTAAAATCAGAGATCCAGTAGTTGGGAATACAGCCATTCCAAGTACACTCTAAAATGGGTGGCAAATTGCTATGTAACTATGTATTGGGCACAAAATCACTGATTGACTGTCTCCATGAATTCTGTACATTACCATGGAAACTGGCATGTGCAGACTGTCCCGTACTTAAGGCCCGCCTCCACATTTTAGACTGGTATAAAATGTTATTTGACAGGCAAAATGTCTAACTTTTATTGAAAATTATCAGTAAATTACAAAAAAACTATTAATAAGTCGACAAAAAATTGATTGTAAGTCTGTGATTACAGATTTGAAACTGCTATGAAGTTTTTAGACAGGCACTTTTCAACATGGGATAGTTAAGCCTCCATTTTATAGAATCTTATAAAATAGAAACAAACTGTTATATATGAATCTAGTGCTGTGGTAGTTTGTTCCAGCGTGTCAAATCATGTGGTACAATATTTGTATCAAACAAAAAATCAATCAAGTAGTTTGCTCACTTTTATAATGAATTGCTTTTACTCTGTCTCTGTATGATAAAACTGCAATACAATTACTAACATAAGTCAGTTATTGTAATAAGTGCTTGTTCTTTAGTTATAGCAATGCTTCTACCATTCCATATGACTTCAGTTGCACCCATCAGCTGGCAGGCTCATGGAGAGATTTTGAAAACGACAAAGCCAATTTTTTGAAGGGATGTAAATGGTATGTTTATTTTTGTTTTCTCATAATGTTTGTATCTTTGAATGCCATATTTTTTCCTTTCAAAATGTTGATGGAACATTTCACAAATTTTTTATGTATTTTTCTATGATTTCAAAATAACATAATTTACCATTGCCTACAAAGCCTTGTGCAACAATATAACAAATATTTTTTTTTTTTGCAAAATGTGATTTAAATTTGACTTTGTTCAAAGGATGAAGCAGACAATTTTTCACTCAAAAAAGACACCTGTTTCCAATTTAAAAAAAAAATATAATGTTGTTGTTCTATTATAAATTGAATAAGTACTCGTATCACACACAAGGCATGAGCATCATTTTATATGAGTATGCCCTCAGTGTTCAAATTCAGTAAACCAATCAAGGAAGTCCATTGTTTATGATCTTATCCAAATTGGGCTGCTATACATATAATTTATGCTTTTTTGGTTCTGTTTACTTTGAATGTCTTCTCACTTTACCCCTCTAATTTTACTGAGTTGCACAATATTTTGAAACTACAGTGTTATTTTTTTTAATTTAATTGTAATATCTTCATAAAGTAATAATAATAATAACTTTATTACACTACTATGCCATCAGAGGGTGCAGTACGGTAAATAAAATAAAATACAAATCATAAAAAATACAGCAGCTAAATAAACTAAACTATGATAAGAAAAAAATGTATAATTAAGAGATGTTTAAAGCTTAATTGGATAAAAATGTAATGTTAATTAATTAATTACATTAAAGATGTGAGTTGACTTTTGGAATGCCTGAACAAATCTTTCATCTAGTATGCACCACTGTGAACGATACTGAGCTTTGGGTGATACATTTTCTATTGCAAACAAACTTCGCTAATACAAAACTGTATTGTTCATGTGTCTGATTTTAGTTGCTGGGATAGTTTTACGGAATATCAGATACTGTACAGAAACAGAATTGTGCGTACTGACATTGAGGGTACTAACTTATACCAAAATTTGTCTTTCATGAACCGATTTTGTATACTGTTGTGAGCTCATCCTTAATTTCAGTTTGTGTCAGAGTGAATCCCTCATTGAGGGTACAGTACCTCGCACTGATTATGTCAGGCTAACTGCCGTTTATGACTGATTCAAATTGAGGGAGCAGTAACAATACGTTTATGGTGATAATGTCCTTAGGCATAGGTACATGTATGTCAGACCACAAACTTCAAGATGGCAGTAATATGCCAGTTTCAAGAATATAGAATTGAATTTTAAACTAAAATTTAAATTGTTTACTACAGTGGTTTTAACAAATGTTGAAATGAATCTTAAAATTTATTTATAGGTCTCCCGATGGATCATGCATTTTAACAAACTCTGATGACGACATCCTGCGAATCTTTAACTTGCCCGGTGAAATGTATGAAGGCAAGTATGATGACTTGCCGGAAATGAACGCTGCCTTGTCAATGGCAGAGGGAGAATTGATTTACGACTATTGTTGGTATCCAATGATGACTTCTACTGATCCCAATACCTGCTGGTGAGCATCTCAAAAATTTTTTCGAATCTAAGGTTATATGTCAAATGTCACAAGGTGAAGTGAACAACTTCTCTGAAACTTTTAACCATATTACTTGGCCATTCATCACTACTTTTTTATTTTTTCACAGTTTAGTGAGCAGTGCCAGGGACCATCCCGTCCATATGTGGGATGCATTTACTGGAGAACTGAGGTGTACATATAAAGCCTATAACCACTTGGTGTGTAAATTATCTTGTTTCTTTCCACCTGATTGAATAGTTAAACCATGACATCATCATTGCAACAGATTTGTATGAAATGACCACTGAGGGCACTATAACTAAATATCATTTTTGGCTGAAAACATAATAATAAAGCAAAGCATCTTTACTGTTTCTAAAGGTCTAGTCATTTATTTATTTTCTGCTTTCATCTTACACTATAAAACATTTAGGATTGCTACTTTTTTTCTGCAAATTTGATTAAAATATTTTTCTACCTACCTTCTGATCGGGGTATACCTAAATTGCAATATTCACTTTCAACAAAATAAGTATAACAAGCTGTGAACAAGTCTGATGCAAAATTTGCCAACTTTAATTTTCATAAATTTGCATATTCTGCGGCAAGTGACCACAGAAACAGGTTATCCGTTATCAAGTATTAGCAACAAAGTACTCGGGTCAAGTCAAGGACTTCATCCTATAAACTGCAATGTTCAGCTGCATGGTAAAGTTTAACCATGTTTTTGAGTTAGTCACTTTGAGTCAGACTTGTGTAGCGAGGTCCCTGTGGTTGATTTAGTTGACCTTTGAAAGTGTCATAATGCAAGTTTTTGGCATACAGTTGTCAGTAACATGCCAGTAGTTATTTGGTGGTACAGTGTAGTTAGAAAACGTAGACAAATTAAGAAAACTCAAAACAAGATCCTCCAGCAATCAATAGGTCATTTGAGTGAATGGAAGGGATTGAAAATGGTATTTTTAATAATCAGAATTGTTTGTGTCTTCTCCAGGATGAAATGGCAACCGCACATTCCTTAGCATTCAGCTTAGATGGGAGAAAGGTATACTGTGGTTTCAACAAAATGATTCGGGTTTTCACGACAGAAAGACCAGGGAGAGATTGTGAGACAAGACCCACGCATGGTATGTGTACATACAGATTCTGATTCATGTTTGCTACTGTAAAATACTTTATTAATAGTTGGAATTAATTTTCGCTTAAACAACATTTTGACTCTTTTGTATGACATTTATTTCAACAGAATTGTGATGAGTTGAATGTAGAACATAGGGAAAACAAAGTATTTTTACTGAATTTTATTTTCACTGATTCATCTCTTCAACAAAAATAGTAAAAGTAAAGTACATCACAGTATGTTAATAGCAAAGACACTGCGCTAGAGAATACAGATACGGCAAATACGACATTTCCTTTAATTTAATTTGTCTTGGGATTTTAAAGGAATATTGAATGTTTGATGTGTGAGATTATGTTTTAATATTGCAAAACAAATTACATCACACATTTATAAAATAAAATAAAAATGTTAGTTAAATTTTGTTATGAACTTGAAATCAAATAAAGATACCCACTCAATACATTATAAGCAGCATAACGTAGGATAATATGTATTGAGCAAATTTGTTATTTTGAAAGCTGGCTAGAGAATGTTGTAGAAACAATTACAAATTATTTTTATGCAAACCACTTGTGGGATTGTTTACATACAATGTTGCCAAGGTTGTCTTTTTGAGTAACATTCCTTACATCTATCTATGTCGAATTGTTGTTTGATCAGATGGTATGACCGTTAGCTTACTAGTGCATGGGGGCTAGTACTATGTGTATCTTGACTTTTCACCACCAGTTCCCTCTTTTTATCATGAAATATTCACGTTCATAGTCTGCACTTTCCTTCAGAAAATTGGGACCAAAATAGTCAAATTTTTTTTAGTATTAACAGAAAATTGACTAAACTTTTGTCTGTTTGCTCCAAAATTAGGGCTCATTTCCAGAAATATTTGGGCAAAAACTCTGGTTGTGAAGAATCTACATAAGGCATGTTACTGAACATAACTTTTGACTGGGCATTGAACATTAAAACCCAGTGAATAACACAAAGAGATTGGATTATGCAAATTAGCAAATAAGTTTTGAATGACA